TAGGCGGGGGACACCCTGAACCGGTTGCCAACCAATCGCAGGGCACTTTGTGGTTGATCCACTTCAATTCGGCTGCCGCTGTCTGTCATGGCGCAGTCACGTCATGAGATGATGTAGCTGCAATGGGTCAACATACACACACATGCAATTCGTAATTTGGGCAGACCGGAATGCTGCTAGGAATTTCCGATATCTACCTGGCAACGGCCGAGGTTTACTGAGGTCCTTTGTAAGATCGACAGAGAAAAACAGAAGCTACTATGGGTATAAAGTTGTCTATATTTAATATTCTTGTTAATTGAAGGGGCTTGAAGACTAATTTCTTTTTCACTTTGAATTTCACAAAATTGTGATTGTTTACGTTGCAGTGCTTGGTGCTTCACTAATATTCAGTGGTAAATTACTTGTGACTTAATTATCTTTTGTCTACTGCAATTGTCTTATCTTGTGTTAAATTGTCCTTTTCTTTTGGTTGGTTCAATGCCAGTGGTCTAAGAGATGTATGCATGATCATGAAGCTGTGAAGAAGCATGAGAACGATCCTCATCAAATGAATCAGGTGCGTTGATGAAAAACAGGCAGGACAGCGGCCCTTGAGGACCGCATTTGGAAACCCCTGCTCTCAATTGTCCCTAAGTGTGATTATGAGCGCGGATGGTTGTTCGTCTCTGTGTGCCCTGCGATTGGCTCGCAACCGGTTTAGGGTGTCCCCCGCCTACTGACCAAAGACAGCTGTGATAGACTCCAGCACACCCGCGACCCTTGTCAGGATAAGTGGATTAGAAAATGGATGGATGAACCTAAACACTTTTAGAATGATCTTCAATGACCTCGAAAGAGCAGAATTTATTGAAGGTGGTTTGAATCGGTCCAAAAAAAGTTGAGAATAAAACAAAGGGCTTTAATTTTGAGAAATATATTTTGGTAGAAATAACCAGATCAGTTAAGTTGGAATGACCTGAATCAGTCAAATGTGGAAATCCACGGAATCAAACAACATAAAGGAACAAAACAAATTTTATTTTTGGGGGGCTTTTATTATGCCTATTGCAAACAGTTGAAGTGAGGAAACAAGGAAGCAAGAGTGCAAAGAAACATGGAAGGAAAAAAAATGAAGCAAAGAAACAAGGAAGCAAGGAAGGAACCAAGGAATTAAAGAAGTCAAGACACTTGGCTAGGAAAGAAGAAAGGTAACTCGGCAGGTATTAAGGAAGCAAGGAAACAATGATTCAAGGACATTAGAAGGCAAGGAAGGAAACATCCAGAGTATCCCTAATATTTCGTCCAATGTGCCCAAACTGTTTGGGGAGGCCTGTACACAATCTGAAGTGTACCTAAGATTTTGGCAATTCAGACTGCCCCATTCGGGACACACTGGGACGAAAATCCAGGGTTTACCCAATATCGTGGCCAATATGGCTACTCCATTGGGTAACCTTTGTGACGAGAATCCAGTGTGTACCTCATATTTTGGCAAATATGGGTGCTCCATTTGGGACTCCCTGAACAGTGAAACCTGGGTGCACCTGATATTTTGGTCAATATGGCCACTTGACCGAGTACGCCCTTGAGACAAGAATCCAGGCTGTACCTAATATTTTAACCAAAATGGCTGCCCTTTTGGGTGCCTTGGGATGAGAATCCGTGGTGGACCGACTGTTTTGCTCAATATGGCCGTCCTGCAGGGGATGCCTTGGGTAAAGAATCCAGGGTGTACCTCATGTTTTGGCCAATATGGCACCTACTCATAAAAAGCTGGCCAGTGGGGATTTTTGGCACCGGTAGGGATGAGCAGAATAGTTTGTAACTGTTTGAATCAGTCAGTAATGTAGAAATCATAGAATTAAAAAATAATTAAAATCATAATTTTGAACAATTTTGATTATTTTTGATAAGTTGGAATTTTTCGTAGGGCTAACCTGAACAGTTTAAAGTTGGAACTTTTTGAATTGGTCAAAAAAAAATGGTATTAGAGGAGAAAAACAAATAAAAAAATCAAACCCAAAATTTTTTTGTTGGTATTTTATTGGGGACAATGTTGAATATTTGGAAAGTAACACATTTGGGTGTGCTGAAAATTGTTCCCAATGTGAATTGAATGTGCTGAATGATATCAATTAGGAACTATTGGCATCTGTTAAGTGCATTCTGCTTTTGGGAATAAGTGAATTTTTGGTCAAATGTGAAAATTTTTAATTTTTGGAATGTCCCAGTCTTTTGTGTGAAGTTTGCATATTCTCCTTGTGCCCGAGTGGGGTTTCTCCATGTATTTCCTCCAACATTCCAAAAACATGACATGCATCGTACGCTAAAGGAACACTCTAAATTGTCCCAAAGTGCGATTGCTTGAGTGAATGCTCATTTTTCTATGTGTGCTCTGCGATTGGCTTGCAACCAGTTCAGGATGTACCGCGCCTGCTGCCCGAAGACAGCTGAGATAGGCTCCAGAAAGCCCGGGGATCCTCGTGAGGCTAAGTGGATAGAAAATGGACGGATGGATGTTAACTTTAAAAATATGAGATTTTTCATCAGGGCCGATCAGTGTGCAAAGTCTGGTGAGTTTTTGTGCATGAATAAGGTCTCCCAAAATGTGTTTAATTCAAATTGAAAAAAAGTTTGAAAAAAAATATGAAAAATAACTAGAGCTGCGAGCAAATGTAAAGACCGCTAAAATGCAAACAACATTTTAAACAATCCTTCTCATGTGCTACACTCACAATTTGAGCTCCTAAACTCAGGAAAGAGGTATAGAACTCTTCTCTGCAAATTAAACCGGTAAAAAAACTCATTCATACCGAAGGCTATCATCTTAATCAATAAACAATTAGAGGGAGGCAGACAGACAAGCGGAAGGACGTGAGGAGGGTGGGGGATGGGGGGTGCATATGACTGTAATGTAGTGTCCAATGTGTGTAGAGTATATACTGTCTCGTCTTGTATGTAATTGTCCTAATTATGTTGTGCTGTGTATGTGTATGTTTTTTGCTCAATGTTTGTAGCAGCACAGAGGGACTGTCCTCAGACAAGTTTCTCCTACGGGAGACCTAATAAAAAGTCACATCAAGTCAAATCAAATCAAATCATATTAGATTTCAGTTTTTCTAGGTCTTTGGAAGTTATATATGGCTCCAACTTTTGGTAGGTCTTTTGGGAACTGTTTTGTTAAGCGCTTTGTTACAGCTGCTGCTGTTGTGAAAGGGCTATATAAATCAGGATGTATTGTATTGTATTGTATTGTATTGTATTGTAAATGTTCAACCGGAGCTGTTTCGTTTTAAATTTAGGGCACAATTAACCCATTATTTTTTTTAACTGCACAAACAACTAATATAATATTGATTATTTTGCAAGGTATAATGCTTGTGCAAAGTTTCTTATGTTTTCACCAATGTTGAAAATATTAAAATCAGTGTCATTTTTCTTGGCGAACTTCGTGTCTTCACGGCAACAGTTTTAGGTGAAATAAAATGCTTTGCTTTTCCTGGTCATCTTGAATATCTGAGGATGAAACACCCACAGTTTAAATACAATCCGATAAAATATATCAGAGGAATTTTTTTGAATCGTAATCTCTGTAAAAGGCCAACAATTTGTAGAACAATAAAAGAAAATTGAAAATGTCAGACTTTCTGTTTGCTTTAGCAAGTGGCTCCATCCGAGTTTTTTGTTTGTCTTGGGCTGTTACATCTCTCTCCAAAATTTCTGTGATCTTGGTGACACGAACAAGGGTTGCTTGAGCAAAAATTTGCAGGGTGCGTTGTTGAGCCATTTCGTACAACAAAAAAATTTTGACGTTGCCAGGCCTGATATGTGTGTGAAGTTTCATGGGTTTTCGTGCATGTTTTAGACCCTCAAAATTACAGTGTCATCATGGCAAACTGCATAGCCACAGCAACAGTACTTCATGAAAATAACAGGCTAAGATGAAAAAATTAAAGATCAAAACCTGTATATCCTTTCGCCAGTATGTAGCGCTATTGCTAAGATGAAAAATAAGTTTGAAGATGTCTTCAGGCCTTGACTTTAATAAATAAGTGACATTTGGAAAAGATTGGATCATCTGGGTCAAATTACAGCAATGTTTTTTTGACTTGGTGAATCATCAGACACTGTAATGGCTCTTCACCGAAAACTCACAATATTTGGCGTCGATCATGACCAAGGTCTTGAGGCTTTTTTGGCAAATTTTCAGTGGTATTCATTTTGTGCGAACTATACTGTATACATGTCAAGTTTGTTTTTTGGGAGGGGGAGAATGTGCCTTAGCATTTCCTCCTTTGTGGCGAAAGAAATAGTGTTAAACACACATTTTGATGCTGCGTCTCAATTATGTAGTATTTTTGAAATTCAAAAAATTTCCATGTTGTTGTCCCAGGTCTTTAGATGATACAGCCAAAGATTGAAATCAATCGTTTCAATCCTATAAGACAAGAGTGAAAACGTTTGACCCAGGTAAATGGGTAAAAATGGGCAAATTGTGGACAATCAAAAATTCAAAACTGACTTTGGTTCATTTTAAACTATGGCTACAAAGGATATCTCGATGTGTTCGACCTGCCTGTCAATTTTAGTTGGCTTTGGTCAGACATATCAGGATTTTTATTATTATTATTTTTATCTCGGTGACGCTACAGAACCACTTTATTTTCATCGTTTGTGATGGCTTTAAAATGTCAAATTTTTCACCAGGGCTGATGAGTGTGCAAAGTTTGGTGAGTTTTCTTCCATGTTTAGGTCCACAAAAATGTGATTCATTTTTGTGAAAAACTTAAACATAAATAATGATAATAATAATAATAATACGCATTCGTTGCTCAGGCCCTAATAAGAGTTTCGACAGACAAGGAAACCACTTGGACCCAAATAATCTAAATGTTACCGGAATTCAAAAAAATAAACAAAAATATACAGTCGTAGTTGTGTTTGTAATTAATTCTGTGTGCGCGTGCGACATTTGCAGCATTCTTTTTTATGTCGCGTACCGGATGGGAGGGGGCGCACTTCCTGCTGCATGACCTGCCTTCCTTTTTATGGAAAATGAGAAAATGCTTCCAATCCGATATTCTAAATCTCTGTGTTTTCTGGGGGAGAAAATAATAACTAATTAAAAGTCTTACAGTTGATCGCTCGTATCATTTGTGTTAGTCTTTGGATACTGAGCCTGAGTCTCGCGGTAACGGATTAGAGTTGCAAATAATGTTTCCTTGAAGACGTATTGCAGAAGCAAGGACGTAATCGAAAGGTAAACGTTGAAGTTTCTTTTCATTGTTTGTTGTAATAGTCTGCTAGTTTTGTCTGTTGCTTGAGAACAAAAAGTATATACAACTCACATGGAAGTCCCGTATGAACAAAGGACAGCGAAGGCATAACTTTTCAAATGGGTTAAGAAGTTAACGGTGATGCTTGCATAAGTTTATGACTCAACTGGTGAGTATTCTATTCTAATCTTTCTGAGTAAACTGTTAGAGGCTCCATGCTTGAGCTGAATATTTGCTGAAAGTTTATCAGTAGCGGCTTGATCAAATCGAGTTTTGTTTTTTCAGTGTCTGTGTGTGTGTGTGTGTGTGGGGGGGGGCACTGTGTGCGTAAGGATGGTAATGCTGTCTTCACGACCACGTTCAAGCCACATGTATTTTCTTTGACATAAAAGGATAATTCATTTATTTTGATAAACTATAACTTGGAATACGGCACAACCTTTTCCGCTGCTTTCTGGTTTGCATATTTGTTTTGTTGATCATCTGTCCAGATTTCAATAACTTTAGTCTTTCTGATAGTTTGTCATTTTACATTTGTGTACACACACACACACACACACACACACACACACACACACACACACACACACACACACAGACTCAGTGTAACAATCACCATTGTACACCCTAAAGTATAATTTGGAATTGAACATTTTCGGAGAAACTATGCATCAGCATAAAAATAATGAAAATGGCTTTTTTTCTTCTTTCATGACTCGGACAAAGCTTGGTGAGCATCAAAAGTAGAATGGTCAACCATCAGTTAAATCGCATTCTCTATTTATTTTGGGCCACATTTGAGTAATGATTGCCTTCATAGAGCTGTTTGTGTCTTTGAAACCAAGTAAACGTAAAAATTCCTCATCATATTTTTCTTAATTGCCTCTGCATTCAAGTATTTTACAGTTTTAGATTATGTTACTTATTATATATTATATAGGGTGGCCCAGTGGTCGCCTGGTTAGTGTGTCGGTTTTCGCCCACATTCCAAAAACATGCATGGCAAGTTCATGGAACACTCAAAATCAGGGGTCCACAAAATGGTGCCCACGGGCAACAGGGAGCCCTTAAGGACTACATGTGTAGCCCGCAGGCCTATTCCAAAAATAGCTCACAAGTGATTAGACATTGTGACTCTCTAGGAATATTGTAGTCGCGATCATTTCAAAATGTGGCAGATATTTATTATAAAAGTGTGGCAAATTGATGTTTCATCATTATTGTGAGAAATCGCTAATGTGATCAGCGTCTTCTCAGAAATGAATATCATTAATCATTAATTATTACATATAAAGGTAGTTTGAGCTCATTTATTTCAAAAATGCATACTGTCAAACTGGTAGCCCTCTGCATTAATAAGTAGCCAAGAAGGAGATCTTAGTTTCAAAATGGTTGGTGACCCCTGCTCTAAATGGTCCCTTGGTGTGAGTGTGAGCGCGAATGGGTGTTCGTCTATGTCAGTGGTTCTCAACCTTGTTAGAGGAACAGAACACAACCAGTTCACATGCACATTCACCAAACCCTTCATCCGTGAAAAACAAAAATATGACTTTTCCAAAATTCAAGACATAAAAACTATCACGAACTAAATTTCCCGCAGCACTGATTGGACAAGCAATGTAATTTGATCATCTGCAGCCAGTGATGGCCAAGTGGGCATGTCATAACTAATTGGCACATTGAATCAAGTGTTGTCTTAACCTCCATGGCACAATCTCCGTCGAACCCCTGAGACCGATTCACCGAACCCCTAGGGTTCAATCAAACCCAGGTTAAGAACCACTGGTCTATGTGTTCCCTGTGGTTGGCTGGCAACCAGTTCAGGGTGTCCCACACCTACTGCCCGCAGACAGCTGGGATAGGCTGCAGCACATCCGCGACCCTTGTGAGGATAAGAGGATTAGAAAATGCATTGATTATATGTTATGTACTGTATTTATGTACTGTATTTTATCTTTTTAAATTATTGATTGAACCAATTTTGAACCAAGAGGTTAAGGTCAAGCAAGCAGGCAATCAAATACTCAGGCATATAACCATTGTACAATTAATTAACAAAGCTTGTGGTAACTACGAATGCAATGACCATCTGGACAGTTTTGAGCCCTTTTTGCTCAAAATCAGCAGCGGCATTTCATATTATCCTGACATGTTACTCTGTACTTTGAGGTCTTTGATTTTTTTTTTTTTTTGTTTTGTCATATGATTTTTCTCTTCTCAAGTGCTTGGCAAACCATAGTAAATAGGATCGTCTCAGTCCGATCATGTGATTGCATATCGGCCCTGTTCACATGATTTTCAGCTGATGGGTATGGGCTGAGAAAGATAAGACTGGAAATCCAGACAGACTCATCCCAACATTTGCTGGGCAATGTGCTGTTCTACCAACCCCCCAAAAACAAATCAAATTTCGAGTCGAAACATGCATGAATCATCATGAAAGTTTACACAAACATCAGGCCTGGCAACATTATTTTTTCAAAAAATGTCTCAGTAGTGTCCCTATAAATTTTTAATGATGCAGCCCCATTTGTACGTTTCACTAAGATTAAAAAAAACAAAATTGAGGCATTTTATCAAGGTCACATTTTTAAAAAAATCCTCCTTGAGATTTTATCAGATTGCCTTCAACCTACGGATGTTTCATTTGAAGATTTAACATAATAGCCGTTCTTTTTATCTTGTCGAAAATTGTTGCTGTTTGCCATGAAAAGTTATGCCGATATGTATGGTCTGAACATTGCATGAAAATGCGAAATTTTGCATACATCATACCGACTGAGGACGGCCCGGTGGTCCAGTGGGTAGCGCATCAGCCTCACAGTGCAGAGGTGCAGGATTCGATCCCGTCTCCAGCCTTCCTGTGTGGAGTTTGCATGCTCTCCCCGGGCCTGCGTGGGTTTTCTCCGGGTACTCCGGTTTCCTCCCACATTCCAAAAACATGCATGGCAGGCTGATTGAACACTCCAAAATTGTCCTTAGGTGTGAGTGTGAGCGCGGATGGTTGTTCGTCTCTGTGTGCCCTCTGATTGGCTGGCAACCGGTTCAGGGGGTCACGCGCCTACTGCCCGAAGACGGCTGTGAAAGGCTGCAGCACCCCCCCCGCGACCCTTGTGAGGATAAATTGGATCGGAAAAAGGATGGATGGACCATACCTACTGATCCTCTTCATGCAACCAGAAGGCGCCCACGCAACTTTTCTATTTGACCCATTCTTGAGCACACATCCTTGCTGCCCCCCGCGTTCGCAATTCCCCATCCTTTCTTTCCTTTTCAACTGTCCTTCTCCATGTTGCTGTTGGCCTTCCACCATTCCTTTCCCATCTCGCGGCCAAGTTAATACAGTCATGCAATGGTGATCATTTGGCTTTCTTAAGGCCTGGGTGGCCTATCCAAATCCATCTTCTTCTCTTAACTTCAAGACTGATCTGTGGAACTTATCTGTCATCCACGGAGATGACATTAGGCCAGAGCATTTACATAGCTCTCTTCAAACATTGTTAATAAAAAGAGTCCAGCTTACTTTTGTCACTTTTGGTGCTTTGAAAACCAGTGTATAACTGGTCATACAAGTGAAAATTTTTACTTTTGTTTTCCTACTATACTGCTTACATTTCCACACTTGATGCGGTTTTGAAAAGCAGTACTCCCTCCACAACCTTCTTTACTTTCACTGGCACTCAGATAGATGAAGTCATCCCCGTCTTCAATGTCTTTCCCTTCTCGCTTTACAGCTACTGCCTTTCTGTTGTTCATTCTTTTCATTGCTCTTCAATCCTCTTCTTGCTTCATGTCTGGACAACTCATCGATTTTTCTTTGCAATTTTGAGTGGTTGGATGATAGCAAGGTTATGTCGTCTGCGTAGTCATGCTTTTCAAGTTTGGACATCTTTTTCCATGTAATTCCAGTGTTGTTACCTTGGGTGGTCTTCCTCATCACCCAATCATAATTCAGAACAAAAATCCTGACATCATTCACCTCTACCCGACTCCTGTTTTCACATTCAACCATTCTGATGCTTCTCTGTCATCGAATAGCTGCAACGTGGCGTCTGTATTTGCCAACTTGAATATTGATGATTTTCTCGGATATCCGAGAATGTATTGCTTTTTTATTTCCAACAGATTGTCCCTATGGACTGAATCAAAGTCTATGAAGTTCATGGAATGAAAGGCTTGCAATGCAATGAATTGTTCAGGAATGTTCCTTAACCCTTTCAGGGACAGCAGTTACCAGAGTGGACAGCCATTCAAATTTTGTTTTCTCTTATATTAATTAATCTTAATGCCACAGATGTGCATCAACCACTACAATGAACCCCAATTTGTGTTGCCGTCCACCACCGTTATTTTTTTTCCATGCCCCAAGACTAATAAAAACACTTGAGAAAAAAAAAATCCTGATGTAGGTTATCATTATTTGTGCATGAAAGGGTTCAAAAGAAAGTCTGTTCAATTGTGCTCTTCCTTTGTCTGAAGTCTGCCTAGTTTTCATCGATGCTTTCTTAATTCTCTCAATAAAAATTCTTTCTTGGCTATTGGTAGAAGTGTCATCCCTCTCCATTTCCCCTACTCTGCAGGATCTCTTTTCTTCAAATCACTTGGTTGTTTTCACTTGCTTCCATACTTTGTTGATGATATTGTGAAATGCGTTTGTTGATGTCTCAATATCAGCTTCTAACAACTCTGGAGTTCCGTTATTTATACCACCTGCTTCGCCATTTTTCAACTTTTTGATCGCATCCTTGATGTCTGCGTGACCTATTGGGGTTGTGTCAATAATTTCCATTTCAGGAAAGTTGGTATACTCAACATCTCTTGGGTTTGTTGGTGTTGTTTCGGTTCAGAACTTCTCCAAAGTGTTCCTTCCATCTTGCTTTTCTTTCTGCATCATTTCTTATGACATTTCCACATTTGTCTTTCACACTCGATAAGAGGCGTCGTTTATCATATGCATAACTTTTTGGTTATACTCTAGAGAGTTTTTATTTGCCCATTTCTAGCTGCTTTTGGTTTTGGTCTTCTACCAATTAACATTTTTCTGTTCTCATGCTGGACTTCACTTCTTTCTGTTTGGTTGTGTATTCTGCTCAAAATGTTGCTTTGTTGGATGAGACTTTGTGCTGTTTTCAATTTGAAATGTTTCCTTTCTTCAACCGTCTTCCAGAAATTGGTGCTAATGTTGTTGTTTTTTTTTTGTGGTTCTTCAGTTCTTCTGCAGTTTAATTGTAGACTTTTGTCAAATTGTTTGAATTTTTAATTATTATTATTATTAATGTGTTATTTTGTGATCTGACATCCAAACAAACAAACAAAAAAAGACCCACTTGCACACCCAACAAATATTCAACAGCTCTGTTTTTCACCTCTGTCTATGAAAATTGGGAGGCATATGTAACAGCCCAAGACCTTAAAAAAACAAGTGTCTTGGAGTCACACACTGAACCCAACAGGTTCCGTTTTTGGACATTCCTTTCAAAAATCATCTCATTTCCTTCTTTTAAATAGGCTGTATTTTAGAAACCATGATTCATCGACAGATATTGAAAATGAAGTTACATCAAGTCTTTAATTTCCTTACCTTGAGTGTTTTATTTCCTCAAACGCTGCTGCCGTTGCGACAGTTCGTTTTTTGGGAAGGTCTAAAAATGCACAGAAAACATCATGAAATTCCAAAGACATTTTCTCTCAGGAAGTGTGGTGTGTCTTCACTAGCTCGAAATGGAGGACAAGCCATTTTGTTTTCAAGCTATGTCCATGCACAGCTAATATATGCATAAGCGTAGTCACAGATATTGTATATGACGGATTGTCGCCAATGGGTGCATGTTATCCACCAAAACTAAACATGATTTTAAAACGACAGCAAATGCAAAAGTCTAATTATTTTACATGCATCGCCGTAACTCGCAAAAGAGATTCAACGGGCTTCATCGGCCTGCAGCTGACAATGACTGCCGACATCCCGTGATTCAAATGCCAAAGTGCAAGGAAAAGCTTAAAATCCCATTTTGGGGAGAAAAACAACCCCTTGAGAGGAGCCCACAAATGACGGTCTAAACACACTTGAAAACACATTAAAGTTGTACATACATCAGGCTTGGCAAAGGAAAATAAAATCCACATTCAACGTTTATTGTGTCATAAAAATAAATAAATAAAAATCTACTTCACAGGTTGTCAGAATCACAATGTTCCATTATCCCAATGTGCCAGTACCCCAAAGTGGCCCGGGCTGGGAGGGCTCTTCATAGCTGCTTGCAGTGCCAGTTCTGAGTTCTTTTGTAATCCATTCTCACTTGAAGATTTACAATGTGCAATATCTCTGCAACTTGCAATACACAAATAGTCAAACGCTTGCATCTTTGCACACTATACCATTATCCATTATTTGTTCTTTATGCACTAATGAGCATAACTACTTTCAAATTTGAGTCCACTGTATTTTTAAAAAAAACATTATTTTTAAATCCTTCTTATGTGCATTGCTCCAATAATGTAAGGGAGAGTTTGAGGTAGACCGTCTCATAAAAGTTTTTTAAACTGGTCCAATAAAGCCAAAACTACTGCTTGCTGTCATATATAAATAAGTAACTGTGTAATACTACATTAACATTTTACATTTTAACCAAATATGTTTTAGCTTTTACACTTATTCACATGTTCATTGTACATACAATTTAAGATTGTATGTCAATTATTTTTCACATTTTTGTCATAGACTAACTTGATTGAAATGGAGGCTGTCGCTGTTTGCTGGACAATTCTTTTTATCTCAAGATGCTTGGTAATTGACCTGCTAATTTGCTTTAAATGCTGGTTGCTTTCCGCTTAAACATGGTTCCAGATAGACATTTCTGAAAAGTGGACTGAATACCGAAACATTTTTTCCGGTGACACAAGATTAGATTACTGTATTTTCGCGACAATATGGTGAACCGTATTAAAAACCGCAGTCTCAGTTACGGGTGCTATTTCTGTATTTAACACATACACAAGGCGCACTGTATTATTGGACACAGGCATGGAAAAACGTACGATAGCTTAAAAAATACGGTAACATTTTTACACTTTAGCGTATATTTGTAAAAAGGCAGCGGGAGCAAAACTGAGTTCGGTTGTACTTTTGATTTATGTATTTAACAATGTACTCATGTTACTTTTTGATCAATCCTCATCCTCAAATCCATCATAGTCCTAATATTCTGTATCCAAAATGAACAGCTGGGCAAGTTTACAATCAAACATGCCAGATTCCCTCACGTCGTCAACAGAGTCGGTCTCGTTGCTGTGCGGCTTCTGAGAAATGATGCCGGCTTTTGCGAAAGCTCGAACAGCAGTGCAAGCAGATACATTTAGCTGTAACAAGCAGTGCCTCCCAGTAATAATAGCTGTAACAAAGCGCTTTACAAAACAGTTAACATAAGTAAGGAGGAGCCATATTTTTTGTTAGTTTTAAAATACAGTTTATACATTTATGAAACTCAGGAGAGCCTTTTCATTTTGTCGAAGATTGAATGTACTGCTGAGCTGCTGATCCAAAAGGAGTATTTTATTGGTCATTCAGGAAAATTATTTCATGTTTACAAACATTGAAATTCAGCAAAGAACTTTATTCAACCTGCTGGTACTGAAGTACGTGTACATTTGTAATAAATTCGTAGTTTTTGTGTTCATTTATTTGATTTTATGTTAAAGAGCCAAAACTGAAGTTTTTTTTTTTTTTTTTTTTTTTTTTTTTTTACAAAATTCTGCCATTTATTTTGGTTTTGCAATTTTTTTTTTTGTCAATGGTTATTGATTACAGAATTGCATTTTGTAACTTTCCACCTTGCATGAATTTCCATCATTTTAATAAAATACAACGGAAATGAATTCATCTCTTGTTTCTTATCACTAAGTGAATTCTAACTCAGGGAGACAAAAATGTGTGTTGTGAAAAAGTGCATCAATATAGATCAATTAAAGACGCCTCAATAATCATTGAATAATCTAATTGTCACCTCTGAATCGTCATCGTAATCGAATTGTAAATTGCCCAACACCAAGTTAAGTTGCATCCATGCTTCACACTTTATTTTTCTCTGCTTTCTTAACATTCTCTACCCATTCTTTTTAGAAAGTAAAGACCCTGGACGGCACCCGGCCTTCTTTGAACTACGGAGTCAGTGCACGGCGTAGATGAGGGCCCCAAATGAAGAGTCATCCAACAGCAGCAATAGTGCTGCAGGTGGCAGTAGTACCGTCCTGCAGCGTCTTTTGCAGGAGCAGATGAATCTGAGTTTTGTGATGCAACAACAACAGGTAGGAGTTGGAGCTGGCAGCGGAGGAAATGGGGAGGGTGGCCCTTCAGAAGAGCATTCCAGGACACCCAACATTGCCCGACAGGAGCCTCAGGGCCAGGAACTACAGACAGACAGCCTGGAGAAATTAAGTTCCAAAGTAGTGGGTGATGATGGGAGCAATGGAGGAGAAGGAAGCAATGGTGGAGGTGGCTCAACTAGCCACGGTCAGTGCCAAAACCCAGAGGAACTCCCGACTTATGAGGAAGCTAAGGTTCAGTCGCAATACTTTCGTGGCCATGGCCCACCTCCTCTGCATCAACAACAGAGCAACCAGCCACAGCAGAACACACTTCCTACCTTTGTGGGTTCTAGCTTTTATGTCACTGGGGTAATAGATTCTAAGTTGCGCACAGAGGGTCGGTCCACCATACAGCGTGTTAATGGGGCAGTTAAGGCACTCCAAGATGATGGACTAAAGGATCTTAAACAAGGGCATGTTCGATCCCTAAGCGAACGGCTCATGCAGCTCTCCCTTGCCACTTGTGGAGTCAAAGCACATTCTCCAGTCATTAGCACTTCACTCTCCCCCCAGCTGTCCCCTTCAGGGCAGCCAGAGGAGTACTACAAGCCCCAGCATCATGGCCCACCTCCAGATTACCCATTTAAACGAATGAGATCACCCGCTAAGCAGCAAAAGACTGGAAGTCCTTTTCATCAGGAACAAAGTGAGAGGGAGCTTTCAAGGACAGTGCCACATGTACGCTATCAGCCTCCACCAGAGTATGGCTCATTCAGGTAAGATAAATCAATGTTTTTCAAACCCTGTGCCGAGACTAAAGCCCTGTTCACACGGCAAGATTTACTCCGACGCTGCACCGAAGTATTTTGATGCGATATATTTTACACCGCAACAAATTTCGTGGAGCGTTCACACGTACAAGCCGCTGAGCGACGCTGCACCGACGTAGTGCCGAAGTAACTCCACTTGCGGTCACACGGGGCAGTATTTTGTTTCGCAGTAAAACATGCGCATGCGTAAAGAAAGAAGAAGGCGGGGAAAGGAAGTAC